CAATGCGCTCATGCGCGGCTTGCAGCGTGGGAGCAGCAGAGGCACTGCAACGGCGACCTGACAGTTCGGTGGGTGGCGGCGGATTTGCTTTGCCGATCGGACGAGCGTGGCTGTTTGCTAGGCTGGAATTCGAGGCGGCGAAAGAGCCGTCGAATCCTTCCCTTCCTGCAGCAGCCGCACGCGACGCTGCAGAGTTTGCAGCAGCTGCAGAAGCCTGTTGTACGGCATCTGCGCCAGCATCACCTCCACCTGGCTGTGAATCCTTGCCGGCGAAAATGCGGCCGCTTGGCAACATGAGAGCCGACGACGTCGCTGGCTGCGAGGTTCTGGCGGTGTCGGATGCTTCCGAGCCTGGATGACTGGACCGGCCAGCTTGCGAAGTGCTGGGAGCCCTTTCGCTACCCGGCGAGACTGCCTGACTGCTACGACCGGAAGGCGCATTGGAGAGAGTGCCGAGGAAAGATCGGGAGTTCCGAAAGGCCTGGCGCGTGGCAGCGCCGAGTTGCGTCGAGTTCCTCCGTGACTGTAGCTGCTGCTTGAAGGATTCGTGCTCTGGGCCCGGGCTCGCTGAAACCGATGTGTTGAGGCTCGAACTGTTGGAGGATGCGAACGAGGACGAGGTGGCATCAAAGAACGACTGGGTTCGTGACGAAGAGCGCCGGCTGAAGCTCGATCGAGACGAGGTAGCGTCGTGACGTGGAAGACTGACATGCGAGACAACGCTACCTTCGCTGCCTCTTCTGAGATCCGGGCGCTGAGTTTGGTAGCTGGGTGGAGCTTCGACGGTGGGCACATTGTTCGAGCTGTCGGCACGGAAAGTGCTGAAGAAGCGCATTCGCGGCGACAGGCTTGGCGTGGCATTGCCCGAGAACGCCTCTGCCACGGCGCCGGTCACGTCGTTTTCGCTGCTCTTGGTCAGGGTGGTGACGCTGCGCATGACTTGGCTCCTCTCTCTCGAGCCCATCGAGGCGTTGTAGATGGTGCCCAGTCCTTCGCTGCCGCCCACCGGTCGGCCCCACTCATCGGTGCGTGAAGCGGAGATGGACTTGCCGCGTGGACGCAGCAGCGTAGTGCTAAGGAAGTTGGAGGTCCTGCCAAACGTGCGGCTCGAGCGTCGCGATTGAGGCTGTGGTCGGGTATCAGTGTCGGGGGTCGCGATGGCAGCGAGGCCGCCCACGCTGGAAGTGAGCGCAGGCGCAGGCGCTTCTGCGCTGGCCACAAACTCTGCCTTGGATGTCATTGTTGTCCACGATCGTTTGCTATTGCTTTGATCAGAGTTGATGATGTAGTCGTGTGGAAAGCCCGGCTTGCAGTCGTTCGCCGAGGTCAAGTCGTAGAGAGTGTGCACGATGATTCGAGGCCAACGGGCGAGCAAGCTATGGCGAAGGGCGCGGTGCGCGGAATCCAGATGATCGTCGTCGTCACTATGCGCGCCGGCGATGGCCGTTTTATGAAGGTTGGTGGGTTGATGAGGAAGAAGGAATCGCGATGACGGATGAAGCTGGCGGCTGAATGGAAATCAACACTCACACTCACACGACGAGCGCGGCCACGGAGCAGTCGGGACCAAACGAGGCTAAAAGATGCAAGTGGGCGTGTGGAGCAGGCGAGCTAGGCCAACTCGGCAAAACGGCGATTTCTTTCTCCTCGCAGCGCGGGGCTGGAAATATGCGCCCGTTGGGCGGTGAGGCCGCCCTACCGTTGTATGCAAAGGGACTCTTGCTCGGCAGAAGAGTAGCGCCATGACCATCGCCTCGCTTGAGAATTGGGACCCCACCCTTTTTTCCCTTTCCCACTCCCCCTTCATTCGTTCGGTGTCTGCGATATTTTCGGCTCACCTTGCTTTGCCAGAAAAAATTCTCGTTCTGCCGCTTTGGACACTCTGTGCTCTCTCGGAGAGACGAGCAAAGCGGTTGCAAAAAAGCTTCTGACAAGGATGTCTGCTGTGATGGAGAGTTCCAGAGCAGGCTGCCCAGCGATTCAATGCGGCCACGCCATCGAGGACCGGTCCTGTGACGGTACTGGTGCCAGAACCCGGCTTACAAAGGGACCGCGTGTTCTTGAGACATTCATCGCAATGATCTATACGCTGCCAGGCGCTCTCTTCGCCGAACTCGTGACGGCAACCCCAAAGGGCAGGATCAGCAAACAGCCGCCAAGACGCGGATTGCATTGCCGGGTGGAGCTAGACTTGCGCGCGGCTTCCGAGCCGGGTTTCAGGTAAGCTTAGCGCTCGACACGAAGCTGGGGCGGAACACGGCGAGATCTGGCAAAAGGATTGTTCTTTGCGATTGTCATCGTGAGTTTGAGTTTACGAGACTGTCAGCTTCTCTCATTGAACGCCAGACCATGTGTGCATCGCCGAGCAACAGGGCGGAGAATTTTCATCCCCCGAGATGCAAGGAAGCGCCATGCACGATTGCGTGGTGACAGCCGCACGCCTGCATCCGCCCTTTGGCGAAGCTGTGCGCTCATGCCGCCGGGATGCCCAGATCGCACGCGTCGCAGCGTCATCGTGTGAAAATTTGCGGCCAAGATGAAAATGTTAGGGCGTGTGGCTCAGACGCTCCTCCACCTTGGCTCGGTCGGATCCTCCGCGAGCTCAGTCACTCCCAAAAGGGCTACCGTACAGCTTCTTCGAGATCACGCTCCCACGATGCAAGTCGGAACAAGCCGAGCTGACTGGGCTGCAGTGATTGGTGGATGCGCTGAGGGCGTCTGGAAGTGCGAGCGCGCTGTCACGATGAAGAAAGAGCGTGTGGAGCCAGATGGGGCCAGCGGGTTGGATTAAGGTTCGTCCGCGGTGGGGACGGCTTGGCGTGTGCGTAGTCAGGGTCCAGCCTCGATGCGCAGTTCGGCTACTGCGGAAGTCACAGTGTCGAGTCGGGCCCGCACCGACGCCGTCTGTTGCGCTTTGCTTTCCAACCTCATCCATCCCACTGTCGCCATCGCAATCGATCCGACTGCTTCTGAAGCTGCTCAAGCTCGACGTATACCGGCATCTTGTTCGGAGGCGCTGCCGATGGCCGCGATGCGTCGAGCGATGCTACGAGCCGCACAGCTCGGCGATGCAGTCCAGCCAACCCTGCTGGCTCTGCTCTGGTGCACGCTGCTCGTCTTTGTCAAGCGCGCCTCGCGCGCCGAGTCGCCGCCCGCATGGCCCACCCGCGCCCGCTCTTTCATCGATGCCGCCTACTTTGCATCGCCAGGCTCCAACGACATCGATATGGACAAGATATGGGCCGACCTAGACTGGGCTGCATATCGAGTCATGGCCTCGCTCTCCACCGTGACAGGCCTCTTGCTCGCCTTCCGCTCCAACAGCGCCATCGACCGTTGGAGCACCGCTCGCCGCAAATGGTCCGACGTCCAAGCCACGTCGCGCTCGCTGCTTCGTCTCCTGAGCGCCTCGCTCCTCGGTGGAAATGACGCGGTGGCACCCGTCTCCAACCGCGACTTTGCCCGCAATCAGGCTTCTCGGGCGCACGTCGAGGCAACCCTGGCTACAGTGCCGTTCTTCAGCATCAGCCTCATGTACGAGATGCGCGCGCGCTCGCTCGAGCTCTCCTCGGGTCGCAGCAGCCTTGTGCGCAGCGACCTGATCGACGCACTGCCTCCCGCCATCATTGCAGCCACCCATCGCCACCGATGCTCGATACCCAGCGCAAACGAAGCTGACAAAGCGGCGGAAGTGGAAAAGAGTAGGCTGATGCAGAACACGGCTTCGCCACATGCGCTGCGCCCGCGCGCGCGCTCCGCCAGAGACACCCATGGCGGCGTCATCTCGACCAACCTCGCGCTGACTGCGCTGGTCGTCCTGCAACAATCACTCGATGCGCTACACCGAGGCTCGCCGTCGCATCGGAACGGGGCGGGAGAGGGCTTGCTGAGCTCGCCTGTGTATGCGCATTCGATTGGACTCGTCAACGCGCTGAGCGGGCACATGACGGATCTCGAGCGCATCCGCGACACGCCCATCCCGCTATCGGTCTCTCGCCACTTTTCGCGTCTCCTCGCGATCCACACGCTGCTCCTGCCCATCGTCGTCGCGCAGCGACTGTACGTCCAGCTGCCGCTCTGTCTGGCCGTCACCGGCGTCGTCACCACCATGCTGTACGGCGTAGACTCGTTTGCGGCAACGCTGGCACAGCCGTTCGGGCTGGATCAGCAGGATCTGCCGCTGGAAAAGTACGTCGCAGATGCGCAGCGCGAGTGGGACGAGATCCGCACGGCGTGCAACGTGGATGCGACCTCACTTGCATAGACTCGATCCCCGCATTGGCCGCATAGACTCTTGCTCACTGCAATCAAAGCTCAAAAAGATAAAACTGCAGCACCTAGGATTCCCGCGTGG